GAGTACAGATGTGTCAGTGAGTACAGATGTGTTTTGAGGAGAAATTTAAAAATAGAGACTGAGGTGGCCTGTCAAATGTTGATGGGCAGATTATTCCAGAGTTTAGGGCCCATGACTGAAAAATTCAAACTTTAAACAGAACTTTAATGACATCTACCTTGAAAGTCTGTGTCAGTCCACTCGCTTCCGAAACGTCCAAATTAAATGACCATACCAATGGAACGTGCCTGAGAATAATCCTCGAGATCTGATCCATTCTGCCAAGAGTCTGGGTGCTTGAGGCACGAACCAAGCCATCATAAGGCAGGCGGTCTGACCAGGTCCATATTTGCTGCCGACAACTTCCGTGTTTGTTGATAGACCAGGAACCAGCCAAATCCAAAAAGCAGGAACCAGTTATCGTAAATCCAATTATAAATGCATCCTTAAAATCCACAGATGGCAGCAGAGATAGACACGTCATCAAGTCTTCAAGTCAATGAGATATCCAGCTGCGTGCCACAGGGCAAATCAGCTCGACTAAAGCCTGTCTTCTCTTTGAAGAAATGTTTTCAGTTGTGTTGAGGGACCAACTGATCAAATCCAAGTCCATAGTTATGATTCAGAAGATTTGTAGAAGAGAGGCTCTAAAGCAGTTTCACAGACAGGACAGAGCAAAAGCAAAGTGGGGAGGGAGAGGAGGAGATGTCCACCCTTGAGAAGAGCAAGTGTTGAATGAGAAAGTAACATACAACAAAAAATATGTTGCCTTTAAATGAGCGATAACTTCCAGAACTTGTCACAAGGTGTCTTCAGCTGACCCTGAAGCTTGTTGGTGTTTCAGCTTCCTCTGTTCCTGCAGGAATGATTCCATTTATCTAATGCTCTGTCTCTGATCACCTGCCTCTTTTCTTGGTCCATGGATTGTGGAACTCAAGAGACACAGCTGAGCTGCGTGTGTTTGTACCATCAGTTTAGATTGGAGTGGGTGGAGGGAGAGAAAAAAGCCTAGCTGCACTGATGGGGGGAGGGAGAGACAATTGAGCTGTCACTGTCTGTACCCGCATTTTAGAGCTGGGTGGAAAAACGCAGCCGAGCCGCGCATTGTTTGTTTTTAGCATTTTAGCTAGCTAATATTATGTACAGCTAATTAGCGTTACGCCAGTACTGACAGGTGGATGGGGAAGTGCGCAGTTCGGTTTGGTAGTTCGGCACGCTTGGTTCTGTTAACGGGGCGGGGCAAACATTGACGTACTTACATCATGAAATTAGCATATCATGATATAATTTATTTTCCCGGGCAAGCTTTTTTTACCGGTATTATCGTGAACGATAAGATATGGCCCAGCCCTACCTCCAAATCTGAGGCCATGGTCCTCGGTTAGAAAAGGATCAGGTCGAGGATGAGGTTCTTCCTCAAGTAGAGAAGTTAAAGTATCTTAGGGTTTTCTTCACAAGTGGGGGAAGAATGGAGCGTGAGATTGGCAAAGAGATTGGTGCAGCGTCTGCAGTATTGTGGACTCTGTGCCAGTCCATTGTGGTGAAGAGAGAGCTGAGCTGTAAGGCAAAACTCTCTGTTTACCAGTTTGTCTATGTTCCTACCCTCATCTATGGCCATGAACTCTAGGTAGTGATTGAACGAATGAGATCATGGATACAAGTGGTTGAAATGAGTTCCCTCTGCAGGGTAGCTGGACTCGCCCTTAGAGATAGGGTGAGAAGTTCAGTTATCCAGAAGAGACTCGGAGTAGAACCGCTGCTCCTCAACATCCAGAGGAGCCAGTTGAGGTGGTTTGGGCATGTCCGACTGGGAGGAGACACCAGGGAAGACCCAGGACACGCTGGTGAGACTATGTCTCTCGGTTGGCCTGGGAATGCCTTGGAGTCCATCCAGAAGAGCTGGAAGAGGTGGCTGTGGAAAGAGATGTCTGGACCTCCTGCTCTAGCTGCTGCCCCCCAGACCTGACTTCATAACAAGAGTAAGCTGATGGATGGATGGATGGATGGATGGATGGATGGATGGATGGATGGATGGATGGATGGAAGAAAAAACAAAATAACTCGATTCCTTAGGAGTGACAAGGATGGGGAAGATCAGGAATGAGATCATCAGAGGTACAGCACAGGTTGAACAACTGGGAGATAAAGTTAGAGAGGACACACTGAGATGGTTTGGACATGTCAAGAGGAGGGACAGTGGGTATACTGGTAAAAGGATGTTAAAAATGCAGCTGCCAGGAAAAAGACAGAGGAGATACAGTAAGATGGTGTAAAATCCATTCATCCATCCTCTGGTTCTGGACTCAGGTCTTGGGGGCAGCAGTTAGAATGGGGACGTCCAGACATCTCTCTCCTCAGAAACCACTTCCAGATCTTCTGGGAGGACTCCAAGGTGTTCCGAGACCAGCTGAGAGATATAGTCTATGCAGCATGTCCTGGGTCTTCCTCGGGGTCTCCTCTCAGTCAGACATGTCCAGAACACCTCCTTAAGGAGGCGTCCAGGGTCCATCCTATTCAGGCATCTGAACCATCTCAACGGTCTCATCTGGATGTAGAGGAGCAGCGGTTCTACTCCGAGTCTCTCCTGGAAAACTGAACTTCTCACTCTATCTCGAAGGAAGAGAGTCCAGCTATCATGCAGAGGAAATATTTCAATGTTTCTCTTTTTTCTTTCGGACACTATTCCATCTACTGCCTAATGACATCACTAGCTGGAGTACCAATACCCCACCTAAATTACGCACAGTGTTGGTAAAGTGCTGCTTACCCCACCTCAGATACCTCAGATACTGGATTCAGGCCAAGGCCCTGGTAACCCATGCCCATGCGAGTGACAACAAGTTTCGTGTTTTTTCTGTTCATATAAGTGCTGTGATGTGCTCTTTGACCTGTCACCTATTGGCCTGTGTTAACTTTTTAACTGTTAATCTTTGGTTGTAGGTGTTATTTTTACAAAGTACTCTATTCCTGTGAAGTGAAGGACTTGAATGTGGATCTACCTTTGGTATCCCAGTGGGATCGAAGCGGAGAACTCTCTGGTTGCAGCAAGGATATATTCCTGCACCATACCAGCCTTTCTCGGTGCTCATCCCAGGGTACAGCACGCTGTCTGGATGGTATCTGCAGCAGGTCAGCTCTGCACATACAAACACCTGCACATTCGAACACAGGAGGCTTAGGATCTATATCCAATCCAAAAAGCCACCTGTCAGCTTTTCTCATCTGATCTCATGTTCCCACAGTCTGACCTGCTGGCATCTGGAGCAGGTCAGAGTGTTGATGGTACCCCAGATATTCCAGTAAACAAGGACCCAGGACTTCAGCAGCTCATAGAGGCTCATGATGTAATCATGTACATTCCAGCTTTTCTGTCTGAGATACACACACGTGCAGCAATTACACAACACAACAAGCTGATAATGAATAAGTGAAATTCAGCACTCCTTTATGAATAAACTGTGGACTTGTTTAAATTATGTCTTTTACACAGTCATGATGTCAGGAATATCATGCTAAAATACCTGATGTGTGTATAGATGATTTCTCCTCGAACATCGATGTTGATTTTTCCAGGAACACAGGAGATCTTCCTCTCTGTTTCTTTGGTCAGCAGCTTAAGGCACAGACCACACCTGCATTGTTCAGAATAACAAACAAAAATAAAAGATGAGCATTTTAAGTGCATGATAAAAGAAAGGAATAAATGCCAAAACAAAGTGGTTTCTACTAACTTGTAGAGAGTTGAAGCATTTCCAGGGGAGTCCTTGTTCTGGTAATTTGTATCAAATAGACGCTCAATTTTCTTCTGAAACAGTTTGCTTTTACAAAGAAAGAATATGAAGAATAAATCTGAAATATCCTGATGCATGCTCAATAATCCAGGTAGAAACATTTAACAAAGTTGTCAGGTCCTCTGGACGGATTCAAAAGAAAAAAAAGAAAAACTTGTTAAAACATTTCATCTTTAATCCAAGCCTTCTTCAGTCTGAGGAGCTGTAATAAACTCAATATTATAAATAGCACCTTCTCATAGTGAACCAACCAAATTTGTTGTTGACAGCCAGAACCAGCTGTTCACATGCTAAAGGAGGCCCACCAACCTAACAACCGATCGTTAGTGCTCTAATGGACGCTTGCTATTCACGGAAGGCTCATCGCTGGTTCAACTTCCGGTACGGACACCATCAAAATGTGGGTGGGATACGTGAAGCACCCATATCCGTGTCCACCCTCATTTGCCCCACTCTGGGCTCTTGAGCAAGGCTCTTAACGCCCACCATCTGCTCCCCCGGGCGCCCTAGATGCAGCTCTCTGCTCCATACAGAGGACAGTGGTAGCCCGGTGTCTGTGGTTGTGTCAGGAAGGACATCCAGCATAAAAACATATACCAAGTCTTCATGCAGCTTGATACGCTGTGGCAACCCCTAAAGATGGGAGAAGGTGAAAGAAGAAAACTTTTTTTTAAATGGTAATGATAGTGATTTTGATATTAATACTAGAAAATTATGTTAACTTGATCCTGTTCTACAGGCCAGGTTTCCTACGATGGCAAGCTACCACTAGGCTTCAGGTCCAAAGAACATGGAACCAGAATTAGAATGGTTTTGTGTGGTAGGAGACGCTGTAACCTGCTCCCTCCACACACCTCCACATGTTTACATACACTAAAGGCCCCTAAAGACATAAGCCCTTTTTCCACAGTTCCTTCTTGGCCCTGCTTTACCCTGCTCAGGCTGGTTCCATGTTCTGTTCTACAGGGCCTTCTTCGTGGAACCGGACTGTTTTTTCAGTACCTACTTCTCTGTGGTTCCATTGAGGCCAAGCAGGACCCTACAATGTGACATCAGTGCACTGTTGGTCACTGACTGGTCAGGGGGAGGAGTCACTGGATCTTTCACAAACTTTTCACACTGATCCGCCATTTGCAATTTCTCAGAATCCAGAGCAGTGGCTGGATCTCTTAAAGATTTTAAAAAGAATAATGACAACACCGTGAACTAATGCTGAAGTGCAGATGTTTTTTGTGATTGGTGGCCAATGACAAAATTCAGAGCGAGCTAGATGGAGCTCCCCTAGTCTCCCCGGTCCTCTCCACCGGAGTCTCGGAGCCAAGCCGGGCAGGGCGTCATGTCCCTAGCTCTGAGCTCCGCTGGTCACCGCAAAAGATCCTCGGTGGTGCAGACTGGGGGCTCGGGCTCCGGATCCTGGCCTTGCGTGCCCTGCGTGCTGCTGACTCAAGCTGCTGACTCGCAGAAGGCCATTGCCCAGACCCCGGCCTTGAATAAACATGAAGGCTGAACCCCGATCCCAGCAGACAGGCGGTTCTGATATTAACGGATAAAGATTTAAACTATACAATGAATTTGTAAATGTACTGATGTTATTTGAATCTGTTTTATTTTCCAGGTCAATATTAAAGTCTCCACACAAAAAAATGCTTTTATTAAAACTCTTGTCCAATAGTTGTACGATTTTATCAGTGAATATTTCTATATTTGATCCTGGAGATCGATATACACAACTTATCAATATGTTTTTATCATTCTTGTTTATTATTTCTATTGTTATTATTTCCATGATATTATCAACAATTATTAACATTTCATTAATTAACTTACATTTTATTTCATTTTTAACAAATAGAGCCACTCCACCACCTCTTTTGTTGCTTCTGTTCACATGATATAATTCATACCCTTCCATGTGAACATTATTTGTGTTTTCATCATTGAGCCATGTTTCTGACAGTGCTATTATTGTAAAGGTTCTGTTTAGCTGTTTTAAATAATCTGTTATTTTGGATATATTTGCATTTAAACTTCTACTGTTAAAGTGAATAATAGAGAGACCTCCATTTGTTATATTGATGTCATTAAACTGTTCTTCATTGTAATATTCACAGTCTTTTATTGCAGGGAAAAAATTTGTATCAATCACATCTTGAACATTGTATATTTTAAACTCTGTCTTCGTATGTTGCCATGCTTTAATGTATTTGTTTGTTTTATATTTTGTTTATGAAGTTATGTCAATGATTTGTCATCTGTCCTCTCCTGAGCTCATTTTAGTTTTTCCAGATCCTTCAGGTCTTTTATTATTTTAGCCTGAGATCCTTCCTGTATTTTGATCCAAATGTTTCCATTTCTTGTCCAAGTTGATGCTATTTTTTTCTGTTTTTTCAACCACCTTGCTTCACGTGCAATATTTCCTTTTTTTTTTAGTTAGGTGTTCGTTTATGTAAACATTTGTTCCCTTCAGTTTTTTGCATTATTACCTTGTTTCTTGATTTCCTGCTAATGAACTTGATGACTATGGATGGTTTGGCTTTATCTGATTTGTTGGGCAGGGTGTGACAGATTGAAATGTCCTCATGTTCGATGTCAATGTCTTTGTTTTGTAAAAAATTCACTACTTGCTCCTCCAGAGTCTGTAGTTCTTCCTGTGGTGCATCTTCTGTAGTGCTAGTACCAGCAACAACTCTTACGTATGTTCGGTTCCTAACTTCCAGTCCAGTGATCACCAAGTTGTCTAGTCTTGTGTATTGTTCCATGTCGTCTACTTTCTGTTCCAGTTCAGCTATTTTTCTGTCTTTATTAGTCATCAGTTCTTTCAATTGTCTCACTTCTTCAAACAGTCCTGTCAGTAAGTCACATTTAGCTGATACTTTAGTCAGTTCAGCACTCAAAGTTCAAAGATTTTTTAACTTCCTCCATATCTTCCGAATTATTTTCCGACACTTGTCTCTTATCTCTGTGTTTGCTCGGCATTACTCACGATACTTCTGGATTATTGGTCTCAACTCTCAGAAGCACAGGATCTAGTCACCAGGTTCAGAGGCTTATGTTGTTAGCCGAGGCCTAGCGAGGCCTAGCCGCAACAACCCCCAGATCCCACACGGTCTCTCGGTTCACTCGGCCTCAGCAGCTCGCACGTCCAAACGGCGGCAGACCGGGTCTCCGCTGCAACAGCTCCCAGATCCGACAGCTGCAGCTCGGCTCCCTCAGACCCAGCAGTTCGCACGTCCAATCGGCGGCAGACCGGGTCCAGGCTACAACAACTCCCCGACACGATTGCCATATTTCGGCTCCATCGGCTTCTGCGGCTCGCAGGTCCAAAAGTCGGCAGACCGGGTCTCCGCTGTAACAACCACCAGGTCCGACAGCTGCAGTTCGGCTCCCTCGGCCCCAGCGGCTCGCAGGTCCAAACGTCGGCAAATATACATATATATACAAATATACATACACATACAAATATACATACACATATATATATATATATATATATATATATATACA